TGAGCTCTGGTGAAGGACATGAAAGGCGCCAGCTAAAAATACATCCAGTCCTGATTGTAGCCCGCTTATTTTGATGGGGACTATTTACATATTCCATTTACATCTTTAATGTTTCTGTGGTGAATTTCTTTCTTTTTTTTTAAAGCCTCAGCAATTGATTCCTTATTAACTGGGGTTTTTTTAATCTCATGGAAAGCAAATCAAGGTATTTAATCATAGCTGTAAATTTAAAAGCAGAAGGAAATTAATTGTTATACTTAGGAAATGGTTTCAGATGTGTAACAAGAAAATTCTATGTATTCGGTTATATAAAGCAGGCAACTTTGTCAAAGTGCTACATTCGTATGACTTGCTGCCTTGTTACCTATATTAAGTCTTGAATTTGGCATCTATGCCTCTCAATTTTAAGCAGTAATTCTTAAGATCCTTACTGTTGCTTTCTTATTGAGAGTGGGTCTTCTGTAGAAGTAGTAACTGCCTGACATTTGAAAGACCCAAATAAAAATGAACTCTCACAAACAGATGATGAGAAACTGAGGAGCAATAATCAAGATCGGTTCATAAGCTTTCTGACTTTGGGTTCTTTATTTCTTTTTCTATTTCTGCAAACTGTTTTTATATTCACATGCTCTGCTGGCTGATGGTTTTGCCTCTTGTTGGCACACAATGCAAAGGACTAAGCTGTCAGAGGGACTACCCATCTTAGCATTGACAACATCATACATGATATCGCGTGCAACTGCTCCATGTAAGTTACAGTCTGTACAATAGATACAGATACTCTTGTGTTAAATCCCATGGGAAACAGCATTTGTTGAGGGAGGCTCACCTCAGCTCTTAATGTTTCAGTTTGCTGAAGGGAAGAGCTTTTCAAGGGTATCACTTTTTGAAACTTAAATGTCTGGGTTGAGTTGGAAAGAAGAACTTACTCAGGTTCATTGCACTGACCTCCTGCAGAGGTGCCAAGGACAGGCCAACCCTGTCTTACAAAAGTACGAAGCTGGTGTTCCTCTTCAACGGTCCAATTAAGAGTGTGTGTGTGTATGTATGTATGTGGTGCACTCCCTACCCTATGACAGCTCTCGTTCAAATCCCTCCAATACTTTACTGTATTTGAACCTTGGAGATTGCCTTGTGTCTGGATGTCTACAGACAATATGTGTTCTCCTGGCAGTGGTATTTCATTGGAAAGAGAAGAAGCTACACCAAGATGACATGTCCCATCTTGGAGCTGGCAGGCAAAATATGTGGTGAAGTGTCTATTTTGATTCTTCTTAAAAAGCATCATTTTATAAGGACTGACTTTGCCAGACATTTGAATTTTATCTCACATCCCATGCTGCAGTTTAAAGAGGAGTTTAAATGGGCATAACTTGTCACTGCTGCCAAAAGGCATGGTCCCATCCCATTGCTACATGGCTGTATGACTGCTTGTGCCAGCACAAAATGGGCAGAGGTAGAAGACACAAGAAGCAGCAGGAGAGGACAAGCAGGACTGCCTCCAGGAGCAGTAGCAAGCTATGGCCATTCAAAACTGTTCATGAAATTCCCTAGATCTGAGCTGAGAGGAATGCTGAGCAAGAATGAAATGGTCATATGCATATCTGACAGCAGAAACATAGGCACCTCCTGGGTTGGGTGGAAGGAAACTGGTGAATAGTGTCCAAGCGTTGGATATTTATGCATCAAAATGGTAGCTTGCTGCTTTCATCTCCCTGTTGAAGCCAACCCAGAGTATCCTGTCATAGACCCTGACTGCCTTCACTTAGGAGATTAGAGGCCCAGCTGGTATTTTCCTCTTCTAGCAATTCTGTAAAGACACTTTGTTTGGTGACAGTGATCAATTTTCATTTTACTTATTTAACAGCAGATGAGATTTAGTCATCCTCTCCCTCTTATATCTCTTTTAACATCATAGAATCAGTGGCCTACTTGCACGACGCAGCCCTCTAAGAGGCTGAGACCTCTGCCTGAGGTCTCTAAGTTTATTACTAGCCCATTAGCAATGGGCTAGTTCTGTGGGCCATGGACACATCCTGCCACATTTCTCTTTCAGTAGTGACATCTATATTGTTGACATTGCCGGGGAATAGCAGAAATCATTGCAAGCTGGGGAGCCTGCCACCTCACGGTGTCAGGTACCAACAGCTCTCTAGGGACTCCCACGAGATGGTGCAGGAAAGCAGAAGAGAACCTCAGACAAAGCCGTGTGCAGAGGTAAATTAGGGACACCTCCCATTGCTGCTCAGCACTGGCCAGGTACCCCTTTAGTCTTGAAATTCTCCTGTTTGCTCAACCTGTCACCCATTTCTCAGATCAGATTTAGCCCATCACACAGAGTTTTTAAGCACCCTGGCTGTCCAGCACTTCTGAAGCGCTAGGGCAGGCTTGCTTCAGGAGCTGACAGGAGAAATGGCCATCAGGCCTGCCAGGAGTCAAGAGTGGCTGCCCAGCTGGCAGGCGCCTTCCCCAGCCAGAGGAAGAGACGTTTCCTTACGACGCTTTTCCCAACAGTGAGAGTCCTGTCTGCATTATTTTAAGGGGAGAGAGATAATTTTGGATGAAAGTTGCCAACCACATACTCCATTTTAGTCGCTTGCCCACCGGCAGGGTGCATTCTGTTCAAAGAGCTGCCAGAGCTTGGAATAGAGCCTGGAATATAGACTGGGACTATGATGGGAAATTTTCTTCAAAAACCCGTCACCTCCTGGGCTGCACTGCAGTTCTGACTGCTGCTGCCTGACGTGGCAAATCCAGCGCGGCGGGGTACCTCTTCCCAGGGGAAAGCGGCACTTTGTATTGGCAGCATCTGCCTACGGGCCTGGCCCAGTGACTGTGCAGGGGGATAATTACTCCAGAACGGAATGAGAACTTTTGACCTCCAGAGCACAGCACGAGGCAGTTTTTCCCTTCCCAAGGGAACTACTGAAGAAGCAAACATTATTACGGATGACGCAGATGAGAAAATGAGAAATGGGGACAGGGGAGGAGGATGTATTGTTTAAATGGAAATTTTTTAATTTATCACGTTTCATTTCCTATCGGTGCATCTAGAATTCAAAGAAGTACTGTTTAGATGAATAGCATGAAAAATTACCACTCAACATTAATTTCCAAGTCATCTGGGTAACCGCTGTGGTATTTCTTCCAGCCGAGGGAACCACCAAAGCAGGCAGCCCAGTGCCCTCTCGTGGGTTTCAGCAGCTAAGGCAAAAGGCATCTGCCAGACCATCCCAGTGCTCGGGAAGCAAGGAGAGCAACATGCTGCTCCTCACAGAAAGCGAACCAGCTATTTAATTGCAAGTTTCTGGAAGTGAAAGGTAAAGCAAAGTGACATCTTTCTGCTACAGCAGGATTTTTTTAATAACTCATGAATTATTAAAACTATACCACAGAGGTTTTAGGTATAATTCCCTATACCCGTATACAAAGAGCTTAAACCAACTTTGTCATGTTGTTCTAATTGCAACGTTCTGCTCTCCTTACCAAAAAAGGGGGTTAAAGCAGGGAGAAGAATGGAAGATGACGATTCCATTACCCTCTCAGAAGCTGACTCAACTAGAAATCACCTTGTTCACTGATGTTTTTCTCAGGCGACCTTTTTCTTTCCGGTTCTCACCAACATGCACCCCTAGACTTTGCACTTTAGCATAAGCCAAGTCTCAGGGGAACTTATTTTGAACCTTCGATATCTAGAGATGTCCTACATCATTGGAGCCTATTAAATCCTTAGGCTCCACACAATGCTGAATTAGGGTTTGTTATTTTTAATCCACATTGCACAGAATGACCTCGGAAAACCTAAGGTAGCTGCAAGGACAGTCCCTTGGTTGGTTTGATGTTAAAAACATAATAAAGTCACGAACAGGTTACTTGGGTCAGGCAATAGATGGCACTGAAATCCTTTTGTGAGGTGGAAGCATACAATTTCACACGGAATAAGTGCATCTATTTCTCAGCATGTTTATATTAGAAGTTTACATTGGGTAGAAGAAAGTATCTCATAGTTAGACCTACAAAACTCCGAGGAATAAGAAAGTTTTCATAAACTTTCTCATTGCTTCTATAAAAAAATGCTTGCAAATAGGTGTTAACTATCATGATTGCTGAACATCTGCATATTGCCACCCCATCCTCTGAAGATGTAAAAATGATCTCCCTACAAATAGTACACTGTTTACAAATAAGCAAGTTTTATTCTTTCCCTTGGCTTTAAAATGTGAGCGAAATGAATTTGGGTTTTCAAAAGAAAAAAAGCAGAGACCATTGTTACAAAAATAAAGTAAAAAAAATACCCAGTAGAGGGCACACCCTGGGAGTTGTTCCCTGGCTGTTGTCTTGCAGGCACTGGTACCATCCTGCTCCCATCAGGTATGTCCTGGTTCACAGAGGGAACAAACTTAGGCTTTAATTGTAAAACTCTTACAATGAGCATTTTTTTTATTATATTATTCTTAGTCAAGTTAAAAGCCTGGATAGTTTCTCAGATTTCTGTCTCTCAGACAAATTGGCCATTCTGTGATCAGAGAAACAGCCCAGAATACTATCCCAGCAGGGCTGACGGAACCAGTATACCAGCTAGCAAGAGCACACAGGCCAGAGAAACACATCAGTCCGCACCTCTCTTCCCATACTACTCCTCCATACCTGAGATGTTAGCTCACACTTGTCTCCTGCAGGGGATTACAGCTTTCCCAGCCAGCCGGCAATCTTGAGGGGTGCCAGCCTGCACGGGTGTCAGTCTACAGGTGAGTTCTACCTGGCTATTGTGTATGGTCGTAACTCCAGACCCAGGAGCCTTTCCTCCCTTAGGCATGCTACCAGGCTGCTTTAAAGACTAAGCTGGTGCCCTACGCACACCCTTTGGGGGAGCACCGACCCCTCTCCACCACCTTCCCCTCACACAGTGGTGCTGATGCGCTGAAGCCAGATGACGGCAGTTCTGCGCAGGGAAGGAGAGATGGGGTTTTCCTAGGTAATTCACCACAGCACACAGAGAATAGGTTCAAAGTGTATGCAACATTTTATTGAAAAAATACGAACGTTCTGTACATAAAGTACAACTCAACGGGCTTGACAAAATCTCCAGAGACTTATTGGTTAATACAGGTCTTCTTTTCTTCTTTTTCCTCTAAGGGCATAAAGCATACAATGAAGCAGCAGGTCCCCTGTACTTGTGCAAGTGCAATCCCATCGCGGTGCGTGCAGCATAGCACCTGGCTCTGCACACGGGACTCCAACATGCTCAATGTACTTTGATGGATGGTCTGCAAGAAATTTAAAGCATGGAAAAACTGCACAGGACTGGTCCTTCAATCCACTGATGAATCAAGATTTACTGTGAGATCTCTGTTATCCTAAACAGCCTGCATCTGCATATCCAATATTTCTGACAAATAAATACAAAAATAAATAGGGATCTGGCCTCACAGAACCTTAAGTCTCAGAAGCAACACAATTTGTAGCAAGCTACATACATAATTTCAACTATATCAACATAATTTATTTAAATCTCTATCAATAAATGTATTAAAAGTATAAATTCTTAACCCAATACTGAGAGTTTAGTTCTGGAAATAAACCCAGAAAAACAAAGCTTTTTCAGTCCTCTCTTACAATTTAGTGTGCTCTTAGAAAATGCTTTATAGCTGAACTTCAGCAGAAACTAGCTGCTATATAATGTAATTCTATCCCCCAAACCTAATATAAAAAGCTTTTAAAATCTTTTTACAGTAACTGGCTTTCATGTCCTAACTTTACATACAGTTACTAAAAATACTGCACATAGCAGTGCTGACTAAAAATAGGTTTAGTGTTAAAGCTACATGCACAAATGCTGGAGTACCTAAGCAGAAACTGAATAATGTGGCAGCTTCACAATTAACTTATGTTTCTAATTGGATGGTGTAACAATACTACAATCCCAAAAGATATGTATGTTGCAAATGGAAAGACAATGAATAGGACTGGATGAGGAGAAAGTTAGGCAAAAAACCTTTTTTTCTTCTCCATTTAAAACTGGAATGTCCGTTATCGCCAAGAAGGTAAATGTAGACCAGCGTTAGAAGCTTGTACTAAATCAGGAGTAAATTGTGATGACTTCTCGGCCGCCTCCTCTAACAAGTAGTACTCTCTCCAGACCCTCAGTCAAGACTTCAAGAAACTCCATGTCTGTTTCAGTAAAGTTAAGGACAAAAGAAACATCAAGCCCCAAATACACAGTGATTAGCCTCTGTATTGGGTTTACACAGCAAGGCTTTTGGCAGCGAGGAGGCTGCAGGGGTATCCTCTGAGACATGACACCAGGGGCTGCCCCCATGTTGGGCAGAGACAGTTTCAGGCAGCTGCAAAATGAACCTGCCGCTGCCCAAAGCTGAGCCCGTCAGCGATGCTGGTGGTACCAGGTTACGCAGTCACACTTCCTCCCAGCCGCTCTTCGTCAACATTGAGTGTTTTCCAGTCACAGTGGCTCAGCCTCTCCAGGGAAGGGTGAGGGAACAAGCATCCTCACCCATAACCTCAAGTTTAAAATCTCTCCTGAGCTGTAGTAGCTGTGACTGAAAATCCTTTATGCTAAGGGGAATGGTTTTATCCTTTCTGTGGCAAGCATACTGTTGTGAAACAGGTGTTACTACTACTGCTTTCAGGAGATTTCGATACTACTTTTAGATTTAGGAGAAGACAATTGTTTGGTCTGTGATTTGCAACTTGTGCATGCATTTTTTGGCACAGGCCAGTGAAAGGCTTGCTAATTTAATGGTACAAGCCCAGGCTGAAGAGCAGCTGTGGACAGAGAACAGTGGTGCCAACAGGCTCACCGGATCACACCCCTCAGCTCTGGCCTTGCTTAGAGGCACAGTGCAGGCATCCCTCTAAGTGCCTAAATACTCTGGGTTTGAATTTTAATCTTACCAGAGCACTACACTTGGAGCTAAGCTCCCAAATTCTGACGTGTGAGCGACACCTGCAACACACCCTCTGATTTCCTGTTCACTCAAGTTCAGACATGGCCCTGCCCAGAGCGCAGGCTGCTGTTGAATGCCACCTTAAACATCTGCTACATCCACTACTGAGAATTAAATTAAATAAATCTGATTAAATTAAGTTTAATAAATAAATAAATAAAATCAAATAAGAATTTAGACAAGACTGATTTCAAACCTACAAGGCTTCCAGAGCATCCAGTGGCAACTTACACTTTAAGCAATTACTACAGAACAACCACGAGCCAGTACCCTCCAGTCAGCAGAGACTTTGTCACCTATGACAGCTTGACAGCATTTGTGGCAAAAAGCATTAAAGAGCACAATTACAGGAGTATCTTCTACGTGGACCAGGCCTTGCCTGAAAGGATACAGTTTTCATCACCATCAGTATTCTTTGGAGGACCAGGCATGTTGAGGAGAACAAGTCTGGCGTCATGGGATCTATTTACAATAACTTCATTCAGCTTCACTGCTGTGTGCATTCTTCGGACATTAGACTGGTTCCTGTAGAAGAAGCACATTCAGACTTACTGTTAGAAACATGCCTCTGAAAACTGAATTGTTAAAAAGGCCCTTAAAAGCATACCTTAAACCTCCTAAATACCCTGATAAATGTGAACTCAACACACAGTAAAATTTGTCAAACTTAAAGATGAAGATACAAAAGAGATTTCGGAGTTCTTCAGGTACTCTTCAGGTCCGTTGGTTTTAAGACTCTTGGAGTCAAGTCTCCAGTTTACAGAGTTATATTGCTCTTCAAGAAGTGTATTTTATAAAGATGATTTACAGTCTCGCATAGGAAGTTAAAAGGCATTTGCACAAGGGGACATGCTCTTTGACCATGGACACTTGTGACTGCAGAGCCGTCCCTTCTGGCAGCCCCCTCCAGATCCCCTCACTCCCATGGCAGCACAGACCAGGCACCTCTCCGGACTCAGTACTGGAAAAGTCTTTCTCAGAGACCCGTTGGAACTGAGTAAGAGACTGGCACTGCTGCACTCAGTCCACGCCTCCCACAAGTACACTTGTCTTTCTGTGCTGAACAGCAGTTGACATCTCCAGAGAAAGCCAGGTTTCCTACCCATTTGCAGGCTGGAAGGCAGGCTACAAACGGCTGGCTGTATGCCTGCTGAGGGGCTTTTCCAGTGTACAGTAAGAATTTTAACCTTTCCTTCAGTTGGAAACTAATCAACCTCTCTGCCTGGCTATTTGCAAGAAAAACTGATGACCCAAGTATCTTTAAAAATCTCAATCATGCTTTCAAATTTGAGTAGCCACTTGATTCAAAAGTTATGAGAGAGAAGGGAATAGATGCAGCGTGATCTCACAAGCCCCTGCTCCTTAAGAATCCAGGCTAAGAGAGGCAACAGGATTAATTATTCAGAATATGTCATTACAAAATAACAGCAATTCATGCAGTAACAGAACTGGAAAGCATCCGTTGGGGAGTTTGAGCCAGGCAATGTTTCCTTCCTACAGGAAATCAACCATTATTTTGTTAACGTGAAAGGAAAAGCAATACAGAGATAGACTTATCAAAGGGAGAATATATTTGCAGCTTTGAGGATTTTTCCAGTTGGTTTTTTTCTTCATTTTAATATATTAAAAACAAGTGCTAGTAGAAATGAATCAGATATGAATCTAGTTTTGTTAATTCAGCTTTACATGTTAGGAGTGAAGGTCTTTGCAAACCTGAATATTTGGAAGAGCAGCAAGGTTAGTAAAGAAGTATTTTATATACACAGAAAACAGAAGATGCAAAGGGTAAGAATAACGTTTATTATACTAACACCATTTACCCACTTTGAATTACCTCTCTGTTATTTCCTGTTCTTATTTAATTTAAAGCAAGGACATCCTCTGTCTTCACCAAGTGAGCTTCAGAAAGCCAGGGACAACACAGAGGCCAGATTATGTTTACAGGAAGTGAGGAAGAAACTAACACCAGAAAAAACACACCGTCATTAACTACATACGGTTTTGGAAAAGTAATTGAAAACTAAAGGTTTGGTATTCTCTAAAGTGACATTTAAAATTGCCATCTCCTCAGTGATTTGAAGGTGTAGGCTGTAAGAAAGGATTTGTTTAGTGTTGTTAGAAGCTGCCAGAAACAACATCATAGCAGTGTTGTGGAACGAGAGCTCCTCTAAATGAGGGATGTTTCCCACTTCTCGTGTCATACTCCGCTTCAGAAAACAGCCTCAGACCTGTAATTGTTTTCTGTCCTGACTTAGTTCTTATTGGGACAACTCTTGTAGTTTGTTACGTGTTATCGACAATGATATGTAGCTTAAGCAGGCTAATCCTGCTCCCTTTAAAAAACTTTGCTAAGGCTGCTCAACTCTAACTCCTTTTCCATACATATCGTTTTCCTGCTTTTAGCTGAGAAAATGAAGTCTTCCCTCTCAACCACCTTAATGTACTTCTAAGTTAAGTAACAAACTTACAAGTTTTCCCACTCTCTGAAAGCATGGAAGAGGAAAAAGTACAGGTAGTTAACACCAAATTCAGCAGAATTTCTACAGTATATAAACTATGTATGATTCATCCTAAACCAGATTTGAATTCTCACTGATTTATTAGGAAGGAAAATCTGGAACTTTGCCAAGTATGCAAAACTGACTGAATGAACTCTTCCTGTGAGATGTAGTACATCAAAGAGGTCATGGGAGATTCACACGTTTTTATACCAAAGCCACAAATAGAGCTTTACTTGTTGCTATTCAAGGGGCACACACGTGGTAATACTAAGGCTGTTGTTACGTGTCAGTGCTCCTTCAACAGCAAGCCTGTCGTAGGGTTTTATCACACACATAATCTATTCACAGTCATTCATCACCATCTCCACGGCATCTTCCTTGCTGCGTTAAACATCCCCGCTACACATTAGATTAGTGAAATTATCAGCCTGGTTAATTGTGTGTTTTGTTGAGGTATTTGGGAGACAGAAGGAAAGTTAAGATAGGATTTAATGGCTCCAACTTAGAAGTTGACTATACCAAGTAAAATATTGAGGGATGTGTGCCACACATCAGTTAGAGATTTCTCAGGAGGCTAACTGCTGTCTTTTCAGTAGTCAGGTCTCTACATTTATTGCACAAGTCTAAACCAAGGATTAGGGGACAAAAGATCATAAAAGCACAGCACATCTAGAGTTTCAGGAGGTGCAAGCTGTTGACTCTGACAAGACTCACGGCTTAATGCTGATGAGATCTCTAAAGCTTCCCACAGCACTGCCTCGGTTCCGCTTCTCAGCATCACATTTCTCTTTTGTCCAGGTCATCTGGATGTTCTCAGGAACTGGGTCCCCCTCATCTTCTTCATCTGAGTAGAGGCTCTCCAGACGTGCTATTGAATGCCTATCCTTTACCAGCTGAGCCTAGAGGGCACATGAACAACACTGAACTCCAAGACTTTATTTTACATTTGCTGGTTCTGTTTAAGCAATGAAAGACTTTTTGTTCCATTGTATCCTTTATTTTGTACAGTCAATTTAGCATTTAGGACAGCTCTGATACCAGGCATCTGCCCTAGCCAATAATCTTACTTAATCAAACTGACTTTGAACAGCTTTGATGGGCGTAAGTCATGCAGAATTTGGACTAACAGAGGCCTGTATCTATACAAGAAAAAAAGGTGGTCTATGTCATATCATAACATGGTCTGAAACAATGGACAAGTCTGACTCAAAAGTGACAACAAAAAAAAAGTTGGACAAACACATGCAGAAAAATTATATCATCTGCACCCTTCGTAGCTACGTGTCCAAACTGGAACGAAATCTTCAGGACGAAAACAGGATATGCGATAAATTGGGACAAACCCCAGACATCCCATATAAAGCAAAAACAATGTTAAGAAAGGGATGAGACTTACATCCTTAGGTCATCGAGTATCACATTGCAAAGGGAAACACAGAAATTGTTTCTACAGGATGCTGCCATCATTTTGCCCCCAAAACAAGAAATTTCTAACATGGTTTTGCAAGTACAGCCAGGCTACTCAATGACTACATGCAATTCTGGGTAACAAAAAAACTACACTGACAGCATTCCCTCACATCTTTAGGACGCAGGAGTTAAATTTAAGCAGTGGCTATATAAAACACTACCAGGAAGGCACTTTGTGTCATCCACCTCAGCAGCCCACAGCAAAGCAGCCACAAATTACATACCTCTCTTTCCC